ATTTTGCGAAAATTGCCAATCTTCTCTGGGGGCGCGTCCGCGTTACCAACCTCCTCCGTCATGCTGACCTATCCTTCTAAATCCCTTCGTTCGTTCGCCTCTGCTACCTTAAGGGGAGGCTATTCCTCCAAATTCGTATTAAAGTTCCACGACTTTTTTGATTGTTAGAAAAGAAGTTATAGACTATTTCCCACTTTGTAAACTCTTTTTTTTAAATATATGTAGCATGGGATCTTGAAGGAGGGAGCAGAGACGTTGTTCTTCTTAAACTTGGGTAAAATAGAATATTTAACGAGAAGTGAAGATTAGACCAAAAATCATCCGTATATATCATTGTACGTATCGTCCGACCCCGTACGCATTCGTACATCCATTGGCATATTTGATTTTCTGCAAGAAATTATCGCATATATACAGAGAATCGATCGATTTATTTATTTTTTTTGTCAAGGATAGAAGCTTGTAGATGCTTCGCATGTTCTGCTGATTCGCCTCTAAGCCGTCATAATAAAAGCAAATGAATCGATGAGCGAAGAGAATCGAAAGTGGAAAGTTGTAGGATCCGAAGAGCGATTCGATCTTAAACGGCAGTTCGATTTGCTCGTCGAAGTATCATTCGCCTGTTGCAGCGAGGAGATGCAAACGATCGTTGCCTCTAAAAGCATTTTTCGATTCTCGATATTCGGTTACGACGTTCTCTCTCCGTTATTCTTTCGCGTTTGTATCGTTTTTGATCATTTTCGTAAAGTTAGAATACCGTTGGCGTTGGGAGAAAACGACGAAACACGCGGCAGCTTTTGCACGATCCTCATTTTCTTTTAGATCGTGGCTGCGCATGCCTGCCCGACCGCCATGGCGTACACCACCATTAAGGTCATGGGGTCAGAGTATCTCGAACCTGACATTCCTTCCCACGAACGATTTGGTGCACCGTCGAATTTACGATCCACTCCTTTTCCTCCCCTTTCTCGGCGCTTTCCGTTTCTTCGGCTTCATCTCCCCGCTTTCGTTTTTCGAACAAACCCACGGTTCCGCACAATTTGTTTTTCCAACACAGATTTCCTACGTGTGCTGCTTATATGTTACATATCACAGTGTCATATCTATCATCTCTATACGATCACAGCTAGCTTTCTATTTCGGATGATATCCTCCTGTCTACTCTCGGGAACCGTAGGATCGTAACGTACTATTCGTTTTTATTTAGAGTCATTAATGGTAAAATAATAAATTGCGCGTCTCTTTTGGAATAAAGAAATCTGTCATCGATCGACAGAACATGCTATAATTTGCGAAATTCATTAAATAGAATTACTAAAGTAGAAAATCGATACGCTGAAAACGTCGACCTCTTTCTTCTAGCCACTTAACCACATTTGGAACGAAGGCTATGATCACGACTATTTATGTACATGTTTATTAATATGTTTATTCACTTGAGATATATTTTACTATATTTTGTTATACCGTATTGAGTAATAATAATAATAATAATAATAATAATAATAATAATAATAAATGGAGCCCTACAATACTTTCTTATCATGTGATATCTACTTCTTCATGGTCTTTGTCCCGTTTCTTTTCTCCTTTTTCTTGCTTTACTTTTTTTCATTCTTCAATTCTTTTCTTATCGTATTTATTATTGTATTTTTGTATTTTATTCGGCTTATTATCGGATTCTACTCATATAATAACGATAATAATAATGATTGCTTGGAAACCTCTAATCGCTTGTTAGCTGCTCAGATAATTTTGAGATAGTCGTTCGAAATTTAATTTAGATTTTAAAAATTTTAATTAACGAGAAAACTGAAACATCGATGTCACGATCGATTATGAACCAATATCTTCACCAGACCGTAGATTTGTAAATATTAATTACATCGTAATAATTACGATCGCGATTCGATCGAATTACCCATCTTCGATGAACGGATGCATCTCGAAGTAATTGCATTTTTCTTCGGTGAAATACGGACGCGTAATCTGACTTTGAAGGCCGAAGATCATACGCTTGTGAAGTTTCAATGAAAGAATCTTGTTCGGTGAAAATAAAGTTTCGATTTAGAATGCGCGAGTTTCTGTGCCAGCATCGAGCATAGAGCAACCCTCGAATAGTCCGAGCGCTCGAAATTTCAACTCGTCGAAAGTTATTCTGTTCATTTTACTGTCCAACTATTTGAAGGATGCTTGAAATATATCGAATAATTTTATAGTTTAATCGTTCGCCCTTTTTGCCGATTCGTCAAATTATTCATCGAAACTATAGAAATGTACAAAGAATAACTAAAACAAACTATAGAAACTTATCGAAATTGTTATCTCGATTCCACTACTAAATATATAATTGATGATACGAGATAATAAAATCCAAGGAAATAGAAGCAGAAATAGATTGATATTACACGCGATCAAAGAATACTGTGATAGGACTCTAACGTTATTATGAAATCTAGCGATGTTAAAGAGTTCCGAGAAGGCTTGTTTGCAAGGTTGATTCGGCCTTTTCACTGTTTAAATAAAATCTGCCCATGCAACTTCTTTATCCTTCATTTTAGACAGAAGCTTCAGCTCGCTCGAAGCAAATATCCGTTACTTCGCAGCACGCGAAACTAGATTTCTCATTTGGAGAAGAAAAATAACACGTCGGACGTATCTCCGTTCCTCTCTCCAAGAAACGAACGAAGGTAAATGATTTCACGACAGCGTATGATATCCATATCTGTAGAAACTGTTTCCGTAGGAATTATATATAAACTTGACGTAGACGGTGACATTTTTCATCCCTTTTCCATACAACACGATTAATCTATTAGACGAACTTTTCAAATGATTCTAAAGTTATGTCTCGATTTAATATACAGATTGGTCTAAAACGAAACGCTAACGCCTCTTCTTAACAACTCGATATCGTACGCTCGCCACAATATCGCTCGTTCGTCTTTCCAATTGAAAACAAACGTGGCGAACGATCGTCAGATACCGATATCGCTCCCGACTTTCCTCCGCTAAACAGGTTTTCGGTTTTTTTTTACGTGGCAAAGCAGCTGCTACGCTTTTCATAGTAGTATCCAGCGAAGAATGGGAATAATTAACCTCGTACGAATTGCGAAGAAAGTTGAAAGATCAAAGAACCAATTCGACACCTTTGGTCGCGGTAAGCGATAGTCTCTAAAAACCGGTCTTATTTCACTGAATCTCCATCGATTTCTATCTAGAGGATATCGAGATCGTGCTCGGCCAATGATTGGATCCGATCACTAGATCGAATTCCAGTGAGTGGCGATAAAAATCTGCCTAGAAAGACTAGTATGCAGACCAGGGAGTAGGAGTGAGACATCAGATAATCGAGCCTTTCAGCTCTAATCTCTGTTACTTTGCCGAGATTATGCTGACCCCCGGTGTTTGCATCGAATGCAACCGGCGAGACATTTAGCAATCCGTACAAATTGGATTCCCTTCGTCTCCGTCTACCCGCTTTTCCCACTTCGGCCATCCTCGAAACAAGAGGGAAAGGGGGAAAAGGAAGAGGAAAAGGATAAGGAAGAGAGCTGGCATCGGAAGAATTAAAAGAAAAAAAATTCTGAACAGCGATGGAGAAAGATGAAATCTATTTACCAGTGAAGCTCGCGCGCGCGTCGATTCAATTTTCCGGGAAGTGTTTTGCGTTTCGAAGCCTCGGAACGATGCAATTATAACTGCCGCGAAGGATATCTACATCTATATATATATATATATAGAGAGAGAGAGGGACATACACCTCCGTGCAAAAGTATGAGAACACTTGCCATTTTTTATCGTATCTCGTTTTGGAATGTAAATTATCGTTTGCCATAATCGAGCAAATTCTCGTACTTTTGAACGGGAGTGCAGGTATATGTATACAATTAGGGACACTGAAGGAAGGAAACAGGAAGTGCTCTTTTTAGGCTCTTTACATTCACGCAGAGCGGATTGCCACGGATCTCGCGCCAAATAATTTCCAGTATGTATATACCGAAGCTCGCAAGCTTGCTCGGCAAGCGTCGTGTAATTTCCTCGTAACGGCCGACACGGTTCGTTCGAACGACCAGGATTCAGCGACTCGCGTCTATCTGCATTTATCGATCTTTCGCCCCCGCACCAACGATCTCACCCCCGTGTCACGTGTCCGCGATAATGCATCGCGTATACGTGCCGCTTCGCTAGCTAATATTTGGCAGCGAACGCGACACACGCGGTTATGGCCGGGCAGTACGAGCATCGATGAAATGTTTCGTCTCTTGTTGCTTTCTGTCCCGGTGATATTGCCAGGTATTTTTACAGTTAGGCAGCGACACGTTGAGCATTATTTATCGTCGAACAAGATTTTTCAAACGGTCGTGCGGTCGATCCAAATGGGAATAAACGACCTGATCGTTGCGTATACGGTTAAGCGTAACGCTGTATCAATTATCGCCGTACCACGTACTTTGCTCATCTCGGATTGTACAGTCGATAGCAAATAGTAACATTTCTAGTTTAGACTATAGAATCGTCGTCGAATACTATCCTCTTGCCTATACGAAAAACGCATCAGATCGATAGTCGTATCGAAGGGAAGTTCGTGGCAAGAGTGGTTTGAAGAAAGTTGGTTTTACAAAAATTTATTTATCCCATCTATTCCTCTGATGCCGACTATAGCGACATTAAAAGATGTAACTGCTGTGTTATTTCACTTTGTTTTCGTCGATGATATAATGGCATGTATTATTCAACAACGTATCCTATCTCTGTTTCTTTTATGTCCTCGTGTCTCTTTAACGTCTCCGCCTTCGTATACGCAGAGACATTTTATCAAGTCTATCGGTTCCCAGAACTAGAGTAGAGTCCCTTCTGAAGTACATCCATAGGGATCGCATGGCGTCACATGTGACCCTGTTGCGTCTAAACTCTACCACGTAAAGAGACAGACGAACAGAAAGAAAAAGAAAAGCAGGGTGTAAATTGTCGATAAAAATGATTTGTTTTCTACTCACCGATTTCGTCCAACGTGAAAAACGATGCTCGTCGTCTGTTCCTCGCTCTTGGAAAGAACCGTTCTCATCAATCCTTCCCGATCACTCGCGTGAATTTACTACTCCCTTTCTCGGATCGATCGATTCTATTCATTTTCTCACAGGGCAGACGAATTCTCTCGGCCTGCGCCGAGTATCGAGAGACCATTTTCGAACAAGAAAAAAAAAAAGAAAAAAAAAAGAAAAAAAGGAAACGAAAGAAGAGCTTCGCTTTGGAAAGATTTTCATCGAAAGATTTTAATCGTTTTTCGATATTGTCGGAGTTAAAAGGATCGAAGTTAAAATTGGATAAAGCGTCGGGGGAGAATGAATTTAGATGAATACCTGTTTTAATTGACGGAGGCAAATGTTTTTTATTATTCTTCGATTTAATCGATGGAAAATAAAGAATTAGGCTAGCGAATCGACAAGTTCGAAACGATACGAAGTAAAAAATATTTTCGTTTCACGAAACGAATTATTTCGCATCTAAGGAACCTGAAGTTAAGAGATTAGAAATTAGCTACTGACTATTTAGAAATCGGCAAGCCACAGCCAACATTAAGGAAGAAACGAGTTTTTTTAATTATCACGAACTAATTAACTTCTTGCTTTCTCTTGAAAGAAGTCTCTTAGAACGAGCAGTTTCGCACCAAAATATCCTGCTAAAGCTACGAAATATGTCAAGACAATGGAAACGAAGAATGTAAATATAAAACCCGAGGGACGTTTGTACAAGTACTTGGAAATTTCTAAACGACGAATCGCAGGCGAGATCGTTTTTGATCGATAAAAGCTCGCCAACGTGGAACAGACGCGACGATTAAGCGCGTCTCCGGGCCAGAAAATCCAAGTTAGAAATTGCTGCGAACCATCGAAAAATTATCCGTTCCCGATTAATGACATTTTCAAAAACGGAAGGGCAAAGTTGCGACGGAATGGCTAATTGATCGATAGGCAGTTGCCGCGTCCAATTCCGTCGATTCGTTGTTAGAACTCGCGTGCAACAGTTGACGGTGAAGCTGGTCCGAGCTAATTGGGCTAATAGTTGCGGAAAAGTGGCCGACGATGTGTGTACACAGGAACGTGTTATTACGCCGAGTAAGAAATTACCTTTTGGTCGCTCGTAACGAGCCCGCGACACGGAACCGGGTATCAACCGACAACTGCAGAAGCTGCGAATCGGAATTACAATTTGTCGGCGCGCCATCCACCGAACGATGTCGCTTTTAACTCCAACGCCGCACATCGATTCATCTTTCTTTGAAACTATTCGCTTTAATCCGCGCGGTTCCTTATTCGTTTATGTTCTCTTCGACATCGATATCGAACCGATTTCCGACGATGTATTAATTTCGAGAGGCGACGATTTCGAGAAACGTAAAGAGACTGGCAAAGCTGGCACAGCGTCGTACTAAATGTCAGAGGCGCGAAAAAGGGGCGCGAGTTTGGCCTCGTGCCGATAATTCGCGCTTACGAGTGCGAATGGAACGGAAGCAAAGGAATCATTCTGAAACGAGCCTCGCACGATACACGACACTTTGGGGGCTATGGTCGTCGCGTCAGCTCTCTCGATTTTCGAATATTTTCCAATCTGTTGGCGATTAACGTTTCCGTCCGTTTCATCGGTCGAAGGAAATCGTCTTCTCGACGAAGGTCGTCATTTCGGCGAAACACGATTAGAATTCATTAAAATACGAATGGAGAAGCGAAGAATGGTTTGCAGGAAAGAGCAGGTTAGGTCTTGAAATCGCAGAGACCGATCGATGGGCTGGGAAAGGTCAAAAGTGGAACGAAGAGTCTCTTTCGATCGAGAATGTTGGAGCTTGCACGGAAATCGTAGAAGATTATCGAGATCATCGGTCTCGGACTTTTAAGCATTTCGCCTGGTCATAGCAAGTAAGTATGTACTTCGTTCCGCGATATCGGCTTTAAAGGTGGCCCCCATCGGAGCACGTAGCAACAGCGTTTCGATACCTTCCGTATGGACCAATCGTCGTGGAGAACGAGAAAAATGCATTGTAAAACCAAGCTCGTAAGAAATTCTCGCCTCGAATCTTCCTGTTCGTTCCACACCGATGAATACTCGATGAAATCTTACGTCATACGTGATTTCCACGTCCAATTACCAACGTCGGAGCGTTGGAAAATATCGGTCGAACGCGTTCGACGAAAAATCACAAGAACATCGAAAATCACGATAAATCTCGAAACAGATTCCCGAAAAATTCGTTGCCCCTCTGTTTTTGAAACGACATTGATTAACTCGGCTAATTAACTGATAAAGCGTTCTTGGTGAGCGAGGTGGCGAGCGAAAAGTACAAGCGAAAGAAACGTTTTCGATGGAATCGATAATTTCAAGTCGACGACTACCGTAGTGGCATAATGGGTTCTCTGTGCGTTCTCTTGCGAAAATTGCGAGAAAGAAACCGGTGATGAAATTGAACGAGAAGAATAGCACAGCGGTGAAGGCGGCTACGGTAAATTCCGATGTTATTTGCGTCTCGTTTGCTTTCTGTTCGTTAGAAATATGAAAAATTCGTTAGCACAATGACAAAAAAGAGCAGCGAGGATCGGCTAGGGAAATTCGGGAAATTACGTAATTCACGGATCGAAATAGCCGTGTTTTATTGATCGACGTGGCCCCGCGTAACATGCATACAGCGTTGCGAGCAAATCGAAGAATCTTTGCGAAAATAAAGAACACGATGGCTTGCATCGAAACAGATTCACCGCGAGTTCTTGGAAAATATTATAGCGAATAAAGATCGTTGTAGAAATTTTAATTCGACTGGTGCGATACAGGTGAAAAAGTCGCGATTGCTCTCACGAGAGAAAAGTCAACAAGTTATTCTCGCTGATCGGGTGGGAACGCGAAAAGCTGTCGGGATTCACGGAGGAAAAACGAGCAGGCTCTCTCTTCGACGAGCGGCGGAGTTTAAAATTGCAAGGCGCCCGGCTAACAAGTTACTACCGAGTTGGACAAAGGGAACACGAAAATGTGAAACGGCAACGTCTACTTTCCCGATCGTTTTCCGAAATCTGCCCATTCGTATTTATTTGTTCGATGCCCGAGAAGTACATCGTCTCTTTCTTTTTCATCGAAGATCGGTCGAAATCACTCGAAAGATAAACGAAGCCTCGATGCGCGTTTCGAGGACATCCTATAGACACGGGTCTGCGGCTCGACGTAACGGAAGCAGCTGACTCCGAGGCGCAACTTTGACAGTCCCGGCTAGTCCACTCAACTGAATCAACTTGGAGTTTCCTCGGACACGAACAGGACAAAGAAGATTATTCCAGACACCGTAGGATCGATTGGATTTCCACGAGATTCTGGCCATCTAGTCGAATAGGTGAAAATTGCGACTGAACGCTATTATTCCGGAAACATTTCGATCTCGATACTCGACGACCGATACCGCCGTCCCCCTTTCCTTTTTTCTTTCTTCTCCTTTCTCGATTCCCAAGTTTTTCGTTCTTGAATCAGCAGGATGCACAAGAGTCTTGATAGAGAAGGAACTCGGCGTGAAAACGCTCGGGTCCGTTCCTCGTACGAAAACCCTTTTTCTTTCTTGCAAGTTGAGAATCCAGCCGACGCACGTTTTCCCCGAAACAAAGCGGAGAGGAGGCGAGGCGAGACGAGGCGAGACGAGAAGCGTACGAGAGGGTGAGCGCGACAGACAGAAGCAAGTGTCACACGCGAGAGAGTGTCCGGTTATATGGTGCAAGAGAGTGCGGGTGAACGGTGCAAGGTACGCGACACGTACTCGTCGAGTGCGGCTGGCCCAGCCAGCGCAGACTACTCCAACACTACGGAAGAGAGACCTCAGTGGGATGGCAGTTTAAATGCAACTATGCTTCCTCCGGTTTGGGTTGAGCGCGCAGGGTCCGAGTCGGCCCGGCTCGGTCGTGCTCGGCCGCTCTCGGATCTCGTCGATATGCCCATAGACACAGTGTATATGTCTATGGATATGCCGTGTCGGTCCACGCTAAGCTATGCTTCCAAGCTCGACTACTCTCTTCTCTCTTCCGTCTTCTATTCTCTAGCCTCGCGTAATTGGCCCCCTTTTCCTCCTTTTCCTCTTTTTCCTCCTGCGATATTCTTCCTTCTATCTCCGTCCCTGTTTCTCCGACCTTTCCGTTCCTTTATCTTTATCTTTCTCCGCTCCTTCGGTTCGTCCTGCTTTTTCGGGTCGCCTGTGCTCCTTTCTTTCAACACCGACTATCCTATGCTTACGGAAAACGATGAGCTGACTGCAATTAGCGTTGGTCACTGGATTGGTGGAAGTGGTGGCAGTAGTAGTGGTAGTAGTACGGGCGATACGGTCGACGTTGGCGCGTACTAGTGGTGACGACGCTGGTTCTATGTGTGGCGTGCGTGAAAGTGCGGGGGTGTAAGTGGGTGGGTGAGTGGGTGCGGGCAGGGGGCTTAGCTGGCTTGGAGGAGAGGGCAAGGAATGACGGTAGTAGGATATCGGCGGCCGG